TTAGTGTATCAAATCTATTCCTTAGATGGTCTCTAAATTCAGAAGGGATACAATCAAAGTCATATTTTGGCTCTTGTGGACTTTTTTTTTTAATGCATTTTTTTGAAATAATTTATGTACATTGAAATACACAGAACCAAAGTGACATGGGTCAGTGTTTTTTTTTTTTTTTCAGTGTTCCCTCTGCTCCACTCCCACCACTGGTAACCAACAAAGTTCCCTTCCATATATAAACCTTTTCTTTTTACAATAATGAACTAATACTATATTTGTCCATCTGTGATGACTTCTTTCACTCAGCATACTGTCCTCCAAGTTCATCCATGTTATTCAGTGTTTTGCAGATTCTACATTATTCTTTAGGATTGCATAGTATTCCATTGTGTGTATGTACCACAGTATGGTTATCCATTCTTCTGTTGCTGTGTACGTAGGTTGTTTTCATCTTTTTGCTGTTATAAATCGTGCTGCGATGAACATGGGTGTGCATATATCTGGTCTTGCCCTGGCTTTCACTTCTTTAGGATATATATCTAGTAATGGGATTGCTGGGTCAAATGGTATTTCTAATCCCAGCTTTTTAAGGAATCACCATACTGTTTTCCTCAGTGCATGTATCATTCGACAGTCCCACCAACAGTGTATGAGAGTTCCAATCTCTCCACATCCTCACCAGCATTTGTTACTTTTTGTCTTGTTGAACTTTGCCATTAGTGGTGGAGTGAGATGGTATCTCATTGTTGTTTTGATTTGCATCTCTCTGATGGCTAATTATCATGAGATTTCTTCATGTATTTGCTGGCCACCTGAATATCCTTTTTGGTGAAGTGTTCATTCATGTCTTCTGCCCATTTTTTAATTGAATTATTAGTCTTTTTGTTGAGGTGTTGGAGTTTTCTATAAATTTTAGAGATAAGTCCCTTGTTAGATATGTAATTATCAACAAGTATGAATTTGTTGATGTCTTTTTGTTATGTGCTTTTTCACAGTGTTGATTTCTTTGTTCCATATAATTTTCTGTGCTGAGCTTGTTTTGTTTATGAATCATGTTATAACTTCCTTTGTTGCTATTGTTTTAGTATTTGCTAAATATCTGTGCTGGTCCTCTTTTTTATTTTGATGTGAAGGTTTATCATTTTTCTTTGAGGTTACCCTCTGATTTGTAATTTCTTCCTGGGTTTAGAACAGTCCATTCTATCTTGTAGTTGTCTTGACTTCCCTACCATTTAGAAGTTCTGTAACTACACATTTCTTTCCCTCTTTTTGATTTATAGTTGTCTTCATTTGTCAATTGATGTTTGTGGTTCCCTGTTTATAATCTTCTAGGCTAATATACTTGGGATACTTCCATAGCTGGGTTGGTTTCTGGGTTAGGTCATCATATGTGTTAATGGTCAGTTGTTGCTGTTGTAGCTTCTCTGTCCAAAGGACTCCCTTGAGCATGTCTTATAAGATTGGTCTGGTTTTAACAAATTCTCTTAATATCTGCTTTTTCACCATCATCTTTGAGGGACAATTTTGCCAGGTATATAATTCTTGGTTGGAAATTTTTCTCTTTCAGGGTTTTATATATAACATCCCATTGTCTTCTTGCCTGTGTGGTTTCTGCTGAGAAATCTGAGCTTATTCTTATTGGTTGCCCTTGGTAGGTAACTTTTAGTTTTTCCTGTGCTGCTTTTAGGATTCTTTATTTGTCTTTGCTTTTGGTGAGTTTAATGATGATATGTCTTGGTGATTTTCTTTTGGGGTCTATCTTGTTTGGGGTTTATTGGACTTCCTAAATGGATATATTCTCATCTTTCATCATACCAGGAAAATTCTCTTCCAATAAATCTTGGACAATTTTTTCTGTGGTTTTATTTGTCTCTTCCTGTTCTGGAATTCTGATTACACATAGGTTATTCCTTTTGATGGTATCCCACATGAACCTTAGGCTTTCTTCATTTTGTTTTGATTTTTTTCTGATTGTTCCCTTTCTAAAGAAGTATTGAACTGTTTGCCTTCAATCTCACTAATTCTGTCTCCCATTGATTCGATTCTCTTCTTCTGCCCATTCAATAAGTTATCTATTTCTGAAAATTAGTATTAATCTTCTGGATTTCTGTCTGTGGATTCTGTATCATTTCTGATTTTTCATTTATTTTGTCATTTTGTTCTTCTGTTGTTTATTTGAAATTGTCCTAGGGTTTTTTCTGTGTTTTCCTCAATTTTGTCAGTGTTTTCCTTGATCTGTCTCTAAATATACTTAAATATAATTCTTTTGAATTCTTTATCAGGGAGTTCCAATGCTGCATCTTCCTTGGGGATATGTTTTGGGTCTGTATCCTGGTCCCTTGTTTCTCCTGCTTTATCGTGCTTCTTTGTGTGCACTGTGTTGCTCTTTTGTCTCTGAGGCATTGTGACATTTTTGTGTTTAATTGGTGATTGTATGTTGGAGTGACTTGCCCATGGTTTTTGTTTCCTTTATGTGTTATCTACGTAAACAGGGTACTGTGCTGTGCTCTTCTGTTTGCTAGTTGGCAGCACTTATACACTCATCCCCTGTCTCCTTTCCCATTGTCTGCCTGTATGTCCCTGCCATCCTTGGCAAACAGAGCCTATTCTTAGGTCCCTGGAATCCAAATGAGAATGCTGTCTGTCACTTTAAAATCCAAAATGGCCACCACTTGTAAAAATTCAACATAGCTACAGCCTCAGTCACTTTAAATATTCAAAGTGGCCACTGCTTGTGGACAATCAAATGGTTGCACCCTTAGTCACTTTAAATATTCAAAATGGCTGCCCCTTATAAACTTTCAAAATGGCTATGCCCATGGTCACTTTAAATATCCAAAATGGCTGCTGCATGTAAATAATCAAAATGTCTGTGTCCTCCAGACAGCTGAAAGTCCACAGCTCAGTTTGTCTCCCTCCTTGCTGTTTTCCTTCCTAGTTACAGGCCACCAGCACAGTCATCCCTGCAGCCCTTGACAACCAGGATGTTCTGTAGGTCAATTCTCAGGTCCCAACACCAGTTGGAAATATTCAGGCTGTTGGTCCTGTCAGAATAGCTCACAGTCCACTGCTCCAACTATCTCCGTACTCACTGTTTTTGTTCAAGTTTTTCCGCTAGTTGGTGCCTAAATCCACTTCTATATACATCCTTTCAAAGCTCAGGGCTCCAGGATTATCTTCTGTATCTCTGTCAATTGGCTTCTCTTTTCTTTGTTGAAGAGGGTCTGTAGAGCTTGTCTGCCTGTTCTGCCATTTTACTGGAAGTCCCTCAGATCTTGTGGACTTGTTTTCATTGTCTTCAGCTTCACGTTGAATTTGCATGTAAGCAGTTGATGGTCTGTTCCACAGTCAGCTCCTGGTCTTGTTTTGACTGAAGATACTGAGCTTCTCCATCACCTCTTTCCACAGATGTACTCAATCTGATTCCTGTGTACTCCATCTGGTGTAGTCCACGTGTATAGCCACCATTTGTCTTTTTGAAAACATGTATTTGCAATGAATAAATCGTTGGACTTGCAAAATTCTATCATACGATCTCCAGTGCTATTTCTATCACCAAGGCCATGTTTTCCAACTACTGGTGATTCTTCTTTGTTTCTAACTTTTGCATTCCAGTCACCAGTGATAATGAACACCATCTTGATTGTATGTTTGGTCAATTTCAGACTGCAGATGTTGGAAAATTCTTCAATTTCCTCATCTTTGGCTTTGGTGGTTGGCGTGTAAATTTGAATAATAGTAGTATTAACTAATCTTCCTTATGTTGTTGTTGCTATGTGCCGTTGAGTTGGCCCCAACTCAGAGTGACCCCTCCTTGGGTTTCTGAGGCAGTATCACTACGGAAGTAGATTGCCCAACTGTCCGTCCGAGGAGTGGCTGGTGGGTTTGAACTACCAGCCTTCTGGTTAGCAGTCAAGTGCCTTAGGCACTGTGCTACCAGACCTCCTATCACTGGCAGCATTACATTTCAGCATAGATCTTGAGATATTCTTTGTGACAATGAATGCCACTTTATAGCCATCAGAATTGAAGCCCAGGAGTAAAGAAGGAAAAGAAGTCCTTTTCTGAAAAATAAGTGTTGTCATATAAATACATAACAAAAACTGACTGATGTGGCAGTTCAGGCAGCACTGGCATAGCACTGGGACTATGGGTAGAGAATTGACAGCAGGAAATGGCCAGTTGATGTTTTCTGCAGAAAAGCAAGGTTGAAATGTTGACATTTATAAATAACCGTGTGTTGGAATGAAGAATATGGGCTTGAAAACTGTGCTTGCTTGATGTCTCCATTACTTTTCCTATTCAATAACTTGTTGACCAGACCTTATAAAAATGGGGAGGGCAGGATTTTGGAGACTTTCACATTTCTATAATAGGGTTTATTAGTCTTTTGGGTTGCATGAGAGGCCTTAATTCCCTCAAGAATGGGAGAAAGGATAAGTCTTTGTAGTTTCTTCACTTAACCCTAGAGTTTCCATAATGGTACATGGAGCCACTGCTCTCGAAGCTCAGCTACTGGACCACTTCCCCAAGCTCATTACGGAAAAACTAAACCAAACCCACTGCCATTTAGTTGATTCCAACTCAGAATCACCCTATAGAGCAGAGTACAACAGCCCCAGAGAATTTCCAAGGCTGTAAATCTTTGCAGAAGCTGAAGACAGTTAAACAAGTCCAGAAGATTCTGGGGGACTTCTTCCCACAGAGAAGCTGGTGGGTTCTAAAGCCTATGTCATGGCATTTATGTAATCTGATTGCCATCCTCATTATTCTTTTATTTAATGGGTTTAACCCACACTTCAGTAGTACTTCTTTTTTTTTTTTTCTTACTAGAAATAATATAATATTGCACCATCCAAAGGCAAATGTCTTTCTCTGCTTGATGTTTCGATGCCCCATCTCTGAATGTTCAGTATTGAATGCCATATAAATTTTTTCTAGTTGATATATATTTGAACACTGCCTTTGAAGTCACTTGCTGCTATCTTCTGTTTTTAGCTATTGTGGATGATGAACGACTCTCTGCAGAAGAGATGGATGAGCGGAGGCGGCAGAACATTGCTTATGAGTATTTGTGCCACCTAGAGGAAGCCAAAAGGTGAGCTCCATAATCTATTTGTACACCTTCTATTGGAGATAAACTTCTGGGTAAGGGTGTGGGGTTTGATGACCAGGAGGTACCTGAATGGGTGAGCAATTCTGTAGACGTGTCAGAGTTGTGCATGGCCATGAGGAGACTCTTGTCTACATCTGTAATTTAGATTGGTCAAGCTGCCCATGCCAGGAGATCAGTGAGCTTGAGGGTGATAAACTTCCCTTCTCATCACACTCTAGTTCTCTGTCATAGCTGGGTATCATACTCACCCATGTCCATGTTACCAAACTTGTAGTAACACATTTGTAGTCTTGTTGGTGGCAGGCTAATGCGAGAAGCATTTGTTCTTTGCAAATGACCAGGTAGAACTGAGAAACAGTTGCTACCACAGCCAAGGTCAAGGCACTGGGGAGGCAGTTGTTCATTTGCCTTCCTCAGAACCTCCTAGGAATTCACTGGGCAGCTTGCAGATTATTTCAAAGTCCTCATCTCACTGATGTGGATATAGGAGAATGATTTCTTAAATCAAGTTCCTTTTTCCCCCACATCTCCCTCAGTCCTTTTACTCACCTCTCCTCCAATGACATTAACTGCCCAGTAGAACAATAGCACTGGACTATGACCCAGTGGTCACTAAACTGGAGGGTAGGTTTATGACAATTATCTCCTTTTTAACCCATGGGTGTGTGACCACTTAGGGTGTGTCATTTCTAAAATCACATTGACTCTTTAGACTTTTTAGATTAAGTCAATATTGGGTTCTCCAAGGAGAAAGTGAAGATAAAGGAAGTATTTGCACTTAGGACTCTTTATCAGAGAAGTCAAATGAACTTTGTCCTTTGCTGGGATTATACTGTAGAGCCCATATGCTATGAGTCAAATTTGATTTAGTGCTTCATGCTGTGATCAAGCAACAATATAGTTCCATGGACAAATGATACATTCCAGCCCTCTTATCTATACACACAATAAACAGGTGCTGTCATTAGTGTTAATTCTCTCTGGTCACTGGTAAATGGCTATCTACAAAGCTAGAATAATGAGGTTTTTAATCAGTATTTTACAGGAGAAGTGACATACTAATTTGGAATCAAAATTGCTGAAAAATGGGTTTCTCAGGGTTATTTAATATTTTAACAGTGTCATACGACTTTTTTTAAGCTCTAACAGCCACATTTTAAAAGCTATTTAACATGTCTATGACATCTGTAGCTAGGTTGCAGGTCATTAAACTCATTATAAATCTAAGATCATTAAAAACATTTTTAGTCAAGTTGTTGCTTAAAAAGTTAGATCAGCAGAGTGATTCATAGACATTCAAAATAAATGTATTTCCAATGAAAAGATTTTCATTTTTGAATGAAAAAAGTTCTTGGAAGCTTTCCTTTCTTACTGATATACACTTTGTATTCTAAGTTCTTATCTCTTGTTTTTTGTACATGGAAGCAGTGTGATGCAGAGGAGAAGATATAATTTGGTAGACTTAATTTCCTAGCCTTAGCTTTACTACAAGGAATCCTGGTAGTGCAGTGGTTAAGTGCTCAACTGCTAACCAAAAAGTTGGCCATTGAAACACACCAGCTGCTCCATAGGAGAAAGATGTGGCAGTCTGCTTCTGTAAAGATTACAGCCGTGGAAACCCAATGAGGGCAATTGTGCTCTGTTCTGTGGGGTCACTATGAGTCAAAAGCAACTTGATGGCAATGAGTTTTTAGTGCCATCACTAACGAGCTGTGTGACCTTGAGGAAGCCACTAACCTGTGGGAACTTGTCGTCTCTGTTAATAGGATAATAAAGATGACACCACCATTTGCCCTACTTCCTTTATAGAGTTTATTTCTAAAAATCAGCTGAAATAAAGAAAGTGAAAATATTCTGTCAACTCTAGTACCAGTCATGCTATGGTGATAACATAAGCACAGTATTCTCCCCTGTGTTAAAGTGGTATTAATATAGCTTGAAAGCTCGTCATCTTTTTTGTATTTTCAAAATTCTGTATTTGAATTTTTAGAAAATCAACATAACTATTATTCAGGAAACTTCTGTAGGAGTAGTTTCATTCAAAGAGTAGACTATAAAAATGTACAGTATTTTATCTAAGGCAGTTCTTCATATATGTATTGTACAAGAAGAGATTAGATGTAATAGGTGTTTATGAATACTTTGTGACTTGCAGTGAAATGGTTTTATGGTTGTTCCAAAACCAAACTAACTGCCGTCGAGTTGGATCCAACTCATAGCAACCCCTCCTTGGACTTCTGAGGCAGTATCACTATGGAAGTAGATTGCCCAATCTTCCTTCCGAGGAGAGCCTGGTGGGTTTGAACCACCAGCAATCTGGTTTGCAGTCAGATGCCTTAGGCACTTTGCTACCAGAGCTCCTTTATGGTGATTGGGTATGTAAAAATTATGTAGCTATTAATAGATACATAGATATGCTATGATTTAAGAAAGCATAGTGTAGAGGGATCTGAACTCAAGAAATAAATGAAAGGGTTAGTTAACCTTCATGCAAGAAAAGATTATTTACTTTGAGAGGGTTTATTACATGATGTTTTTACAGTATTATTTCCTTAGGAATTTGTTATATTGGATCTATTATAGTGCACAAATAGATGTGTGTTTCTGTGGATGTAGTTACCTTAGAATATTGAGTTTCTAGTAAATTGTACCCTTGGAAGTGTGTATATTTAGCCAGGAAGTTGTATCTTATGTAAGTTGAAATAACTTGGGTGCATTTTAATTAGAAATGTATTGGTTCTGTTTTTTACACAAGGTTCCCCCCACACACAAGATGAGAACTGGAAGGATATTTTGCTTGTATATCTTGTTACTTGGAATTTTCAAAAAATTCAGAATCATGTATTGTAATATATCTTTAATTTTAGTTATACTCATTTAAAGATTCTATTGTTGTTGTTAAGTGCCATCCAGTCATTTCCGACTCACAGCGACCCCATGCACAGCAGAATGAAACACTGCCCGATCCCGTGCCAGCCCCACAATCAAAAACCAGAGGCTCAGCCTCAAAACTCACGTCTACATGTCACCACAGTAGGACAAACCGACAGACAAGTTTGTCCTGCTGTTGGAGACCTCTCGTATCCTAAAGGTGTGCGGTAATGTACCAAACAGTGTTTCTTTGCTATTCATAAGGTTTTCCCTGGCCATTTCAGAAGTGGACAGCCTCTTCCTTCTTCCTAGTCTGTCTCAGTCTATAAGCTGGGCTGTTACCTGTGCACCAGGTGCATCTCGCTGGGTTTTAACCCTGGGGCTGACTGCTCTAGCAAACTGAATTCAGCAAAATAGAAAAAGGATTATATACTACCAAGTGAGATTTATCCCAGGAATGAAAGCTTGGTTTAACATCTGAAAACCAATCAATGTAATAGAATGTACTGATAGATTAAAGAGCAAAAAACCACAAGATCATCTCAATACACAGAGAAGAAGCACTTGACAAAATCCAACCCCTTTTCTAGATAGAAGTATTAAATGAATTAGGGATAAGAGAGAACGTCCTCCATCCGATAAAGGGCATCTATGAAAAGTGCACAGCTAATATTATACTTGGTGAAAGACTGAATGCTTTATCCCTAAGATCAGAAACAGGATAAGCATATCTGTTCTCACTATGTCTATTCACCATTATGTTAGAGGTTCTAGGTGGGGCACTTAGGCAAGAAAAAGAATGATCTGTCATATGAATAATTCTAAGAAGTCAATTAAAAAAAACTATTAGAACTATGAATGAGTTTATTGTGGCTTCAGGACACAAGATCTATATACACAAGTCAATTATATTTTTTTTGTATTAGCAATGGACAGTCTGAAGATAAAATTATGAGAGCAATTCAATTTACACTATCATCTAAAAGAATATAATGCATAAGAATAAATTTAATGAAAGAAGTTTAAAGCTTGAATACTGAAAACTACAAAACATTGTTGAAAATTTGAAATAGTCACGTATATAAATGGAAAGATAGCCCATGTTCATGGATCAGAAAACAGTATTGTTAAGATGACAATACTTTCCATAATGCTGTACAGATTCAACACAGTCCCTATAGCAAAAGTCTCAGCTGCCTCTTTTTTTTTTCTTAAGTTGACAAGCTGATCCTTAAATTCATGGAAATGCAAGGGATACAGAATAGCAAAAACAATCTTAAATGAAGAACAAAGTTGGAAGATTTGCACTTCATGATTTCCAGACTTACTAAAAGCTGCTGTAATCAACACATTGTGGTGGTAGTATAAATATAGGCATATGGATCAGTGGAATAGAATCAATAGTCCAGAGAGAAACTCTAATATTTATAGTCAACTGATTGTCAACAAGGTTATTGACAGTTTGTGGAGAAAAAGGCTTTTCAGCAAATGATCCTGGAACAACTGTATATCCATATGCAAAAGAGTGAATTTGAACCTTACCTCCCATTGTATGGGAGCTCTGGTGGCACAGTGTCTAAGGCATTTGACTGCTAACCAGAAGGCTGGTGGTTCAAACCCACCAGCCACTCCTCAAAGGGAAGGTTGGGCAATCTACTTCCATAGTGATACCACTTCAGAAACCCAAGAAGGGGTCGCTATGAGTTAGATCCTACTTGACGGCAGTGAGATCCACCCCCCATCATATACAAAATTTAATTAAAAATTAGTCATTGATGTAAATGTGAGAGCCATAAGAGCTCTGGTAGCATAGTGGCTAAGACACTTGATTGATAACCAGAAGGCTGGTGGTTCAAACCCACCAGCCACTCCTCGGAACGAAGATGGGCAATCTACTTCCATAATGATACTGCCTCGGAAACCCAGGGAGGGGTCGCTATGAGTTGGGTCCGACTCGACGGCACATGACAACAACAACAACATAATTATAAAACTATTAGAAGAAAACACAGTAGTAAATCTTTTTGACCTTGGGTTAGGCAAAGGTTTCTTAGGATACCAAAAGCACAAGCAACAAAAGAAAAATAAGTTAGACATTGTCAAAATTTCAA